GACCCGGTCCCTTTAAAGAAATATTGTCTTCCAGGATTCCCCTTTTATGTCAGTTTCCACGTTAATTGGTGTGAGGGTTCTGTTGGGTTTGTCGATCGCCGAATGGCAGAGTGCCCTGCAAACCCCCAGAAGCCCACCCCGAAAACCCTTGTTCGAGGAGAAGCTTCGTGACAGGAGCGCCGGGCGGGCTTCAATTCAAAGGGAGCCCAAGGGAAACTCAGTTGTCCAAAGCGAATCGACCTCTTGACCTTTTGGTTTTCCAATTTTGGTCCAATTTTAGTAGAGGTGCCAAAAGGTTAACCTTTTAGTTCTGGCTCCTTTGGGCAACTAAGAAAAAGGCGAGTGTTTCCCCATTATGTGCTCTCGCTCCGCGAGTTGCCGAGTTCCGTTTCGGAACTTTGGGGGTATTTGGGTCTGAACCCCCAACCACTACTCTTGGACATGAGGAAAACAGCTTCTTGTTTGGGGAGAGGAGGGGTGCTGGTAAAGTTTGGTTACTTTAGTTGGCCAATCCACTCAATCGGAAGTGAGAAGACGACGTTGAGCTTCCATTTTCAAGGGGTTTGGCCAGGTGTCGCTTTGATGTTCGACCTTTCGCGGCGATGGAGGGAGGCTCGGCTCCGTTTCGACGTTTCACGGCGCCAAGTGCTCCGAAATTCGTCCATTGGTTCAGGGAACTTTGGTGGTTCCCAGCCATCCCCTTCGGCTTTAAGGCTGTTAATGCTTAGTGGGGGTTTCCATTAAACCTGCGATACTGAAAGTCAAACTTTTGGCAGGGAATCTGAGAACAGCCCAGTTGAGCGGCTTCCTAGGAGCAACGCCGGCAATTTTTTTTGCGGAGGGCACCCCCCCCATTTCCTAGGTCCCCCGGCTAGGTGCCCTGTTACCCCTTTTTTGGTTGGGAGGGCCCTACTAAAATAGACTACAGCAAAAAGTTGACACCCTTAGTCTAACACCTCCACTGGAGGACCTAGTTTCCAAGAGTTCGCCGCAAGGGCAGCTAGGCTTACGGCCCGCAACGGTGCGGCCCACCGGCCCCTATAGGTACTAGTGACTAGTCTACGGCAACTTTTCTTGCGAGGCTTCAAAGACATGTTGCGGAGCTCCTGGGTCGCTGCATTGTCTTCAAACATCTGCCGGGTGTCCCTCTCGTTTACGGTATTTCCCGGTGCCTGTTTTTTTCTAGCATGTCCTTGCATCAAAACAGCTAGCCTCCCACCAATCAACCTGGAACCTTTCGACCTTCGGGGGGGTCCTGGCTTGGCACATTCTCCTTTTTTAGGGAGCGGGCCCCTGTCAGGTTCCAGGTTCGTTGGTGGGTATGAAAAACGGAAATGAATTCCCTGGTTGGAGCTGGAGCGATCGGCTCGAAGAGTGCGGCGGGTGAGAGCGTCTCGCGCGATGCTTCTGGCGATCTGGGCATCGCTGGCTGCGGTGGCGTTGGGGGACGGCGAGTTCCTCTTTAGCCGACCGGAAGCAGAAGTGTTTGATTTTTTTACAAGACGCATCGGTGTCCTTTTCTCACTTGCCCATAGCGAATCGACCGGATCTGACCTTTGGTTTTCCCATGTTGGTCATTTTCAGTAAAGGCGCCAAAAGGTTCGCCTATTTCGGGCTGTTCAGGAATCCTCCAAGTTGGGTCAACGCTCGTTTAGTGGGAGTCGCACCCTAGGGTGAATCACTGGGCTGGTTGCGTACGTCCCCGAAGCGGGTTCCGTCTTGTATTGTCCGATGGCTAGGCATGCCCGTAGGCCCCGAACCGTGGCGCCCGTAGGCCCCGAGCGTTTTTTTTTTTTTAACAAAAACAACAACATGTTTTCGGCCTCAAGTTCCATCGATCGATCGATCGGTGGTGTTTTGGTAGAAGTAGATGGCCCTGGTTGTTTCACAAGGTTGTTTCACAACTTGCCAGGGCCAGCTGATTTTTCCCAAAAGGCCGCCTGTGATCAGGACTGGCCATCCATTGGAAGGATTCGGCCACTTGCCCAAAAGAAAAGCGAATCGAGCTTTTGGACTTGTTGGCTACTGCGTGGCCTCCCATTAAAAAGGTGGCCCAAGGTGATGTCACCTCTTCTTTCTGGCTCCCTCAAGGGGTTAACTTTGAGTTCCTGGACTTGGGTCACTTGAAAAAGATGACCATTTTAGTGCAAACCCCCCCTTTTTGGGGCCCTTTTTGGGCAGTCCACTCAAGTGAGCGAAGCATCCATTGTGGTTTCCTTGCGGGGAGCTTTCCGGGTGAAAAGCTTCCTACGCTTCCAAGAGTCGCTCTACGAGAGTTCTACCCTTTTTGGTCGGGGTCAACACCCTTTCTTTGGGTTGTTTGGGTAGATGTCAGACAGAATGGTAGGCGTCCTGATGGTTTCCGCTAAAAGCCACCGAAAAAGGTACCCCTCAAAGAAACTACACCCATATGGCTGTGGGTCGAAACTAATGGTACCATTTTGGCATAGTTGCACCACCCATTTTAGTCTATTTCAATGGAGATGGGGGTGTTCACTGGGGGTACGATTTGGCTTGTGACCCATGGCCATATGTGTTTGGTCCTTTCAGGATCCAGGAGGATCCTTTCCACTGCCGTGGTCCCAAGGCACCACCACTACGGCGGCACAGACGCCCGTGCCCGTTGTGTCGGCGGATTGCAATCCCTTCCGCGGCACCCGCTACTCGCTGGGCAGTTGAGCCCGTTTTTTGTTTCAACAGAAGGCCGCCGCTGGTTTAAAGAGAGCCCAAGAAGAAAGCCACGACTTGGGGAACCCACCTCTAAAATAGCGAAACGGACACCTTTTGCAGGGCTCCTTAAAAGATGGCCATTTTGCTTCACCGTTTGAAACATGGCTGGCTTTTTCAACGCCAAGATAAAGGGACACCACCATTTACAAGTTGCAATGTTCAGGTGTATAATGTAAGGATCCCTGCTTTGTTTTCTTTTTGGGTTCGCACTTTTGCGCTTCGGTTCGATTGGATTCTCCACTTCAGGTTTGAAGATCTCGAGAATGGAAAATGCCTTTTGGGTCCCATCGATTCCTTCAACCACCATGAGGTACTTGCCCCAAATTCCATCAATCGAACCCGGGATGTGCATGTTTTCAATTTGGCAACCCATTCGCGGCATTTGACCCAGCCTCTTTGGTTTAAGTTTCTAGGTCCCAGTAGTGCCCTTTCTCACCCCTTTTTCGGGGGAGGGTTCCCCTACTAGAATAGACGACAGAAAAAAGGGGGATCTACTTAAGTTTAATTGTAAACGCTTCGCGTTGCCCGCCTCGGCCCAGCCTAGTTTGAGGGAAGGGTCAGGAACACCGAAATCCAGTGTTGGGAACGCACCAGTTCGCCCGTGCTAGTTCGATGTTCGGAAGCCGTCCTGCTCGGACAGTCTCGGGCAGCTTGGCTGGTCCTTGCTTGCGTGGGTTGTTGGTTGAGCTGGGCCTGAAGCTAGTTTACGGCGGCCGCACTGAGGGGGCTGGGCTATGGCTGGGAGGCCAGTTTCAGACACGTCAGACAGGCCTGGCCAGCAGGCGGACTGGGCTGGGCTAGACGCTAGTTGAGCCCAGGCTGGTGAGGCCAGGCTCTAGATAGGCTGAGGCCTGCGAGTCTGAAACAGGGTGGGCTTGGGTGAGGTTTGCTTAGGCGGGTTGCTGGTTGGGCTGGGCCTGAAGCTAGTCTCAGTTTCTGGCTGCTGGGCAGCCGGACTACGCTGTTGGTTGCGCCTGGAACTTCGGCTGGGCGGGCTGGGCTGAGCTGTGCTTGGGCGGGTCGCTGGATGGGCAAGGCCTGTCTCATACACACTTGGGCCTGAGGCTGGGTAGCGAGTTGCTGGCTGGAGCAGGAGGTCAAGGCCTGGCCAGCCTGGGCTGAGCTGCTTGGCCGGACTACGCTGCTGGTTGAACTTGGGCTGGGCGGGCTCTGAGCTGTGCTTGGGCGGGTTGCTGGATGGGCAAGGCCTGTTTGCTGGCTGGGCTGGGCCTGAGGCCAGTCGCAGACACGTAAGACACGCCAGCAAGGGACTGGGCCTGAGGCTAGTCTCAGGCTGGCAGACTGCGCCGAAGAAGCTGGGGCCAGGAGGTCAAGGCCTGGCCCTGGGCTGAGCTGCTTGGGCAGCCGGACTGAAGGGCTGGGGCACGTCAGACAGGCTTTGTGGCTGGCGCAGTCTCAGACACATGAGACTGGTCGTTGGCCTGAGGCCAGTCTGGGAGCTTGGGCCGGCCTAGGGCTGGCATGCCCTGAGATGCGCCGGGGCCTGCACTGGGCAGGCTGGGGTTGCTGGTTGGGCTGGGCCTGTGAAGCTAGTTTCAGCCACAAGGCTGCGAAGCCATGGGTGGGTTGCTGCCGGGCAGCCGGACTACGCTGCTGGTTGCGCCTGGAACTTGGGCTGGGCGGGCTGTGCTTGGGCGGTTGGGCCTGAGGCCGGGTGGCGAGTTGCTGAGGGACTGCCTGTCAGGCTGGCATACTTTGAGACCAGTCTCAGACTCCGCTGGGCTGGGCTGGGAGCTGGGGGCCGGCCTGGTGGCTGGCATGCTCTGAGATGCGCCGGGCCTGGGCTGGGCAGGCTGGGCTGGGCTTGCTGGAGGTTGCTGGTTGGCCTTGGCCTGTTGCAGACAAGCTTGGGCCTGAGGCTGGTGGGCTGGGCTGACAGGCCTGGCCAGCAGGCGGGTTGCTGGTTGGGCTGGGCCTGAGCCTAGTCTCAGACACGTCAGACAGGCCTGGCCAGCAGGAGGTCATGCTTTTCAGGACAAAAAAGCATTTTTTGGTGATTTTCGCAATGTCAGCGCATCTTCGACAAAAATGGACCCATGGAGCTGGACGCCGACGAACCCCGAAAATTTCAAGGCCCGCCGGACAGGATTTTGGGCTCGGGGAGGGGGTTGGGGGAGGGGAAAAGCGAAGATTCTCTTTGGAGAAGAGAGATCTGAGCGCCCTTGACCCCTTTGGGGCCGAGGCGAATTCTTACTTGCAGGGGCCAACTGGCTTCTGTTGTTGTCAAATGCCTCGTTTAAAAACTTGGTGGCTTTCAGCCATCCGGTTCCTTAGCTTTTTAGCCTTTTAGTGTTTAGTGGTAGTTTCCTTTTCACCCACACACAGTTAAACTTTTAGCGGGAGATCTGAGGGCAGCCCAGAACTTAAGACCTTTTGGGTTAGGCTGAGTCTGTCTTTGGGGCCAGGTGAGCCCTTATTCCCAGATCCTGTTGGGCGAGTTCGCGAAGTATTGTGACCAAGTTGCTGACTTGAGCAAAACCGGAACACCAAAGGATGCACGTTTAGTCATAGGTCCAACTACTTCAACCAGCAGAGTAAGTAGGTTACAAGTGGGCTAACCGCACTTTACCCTTTTTTGGGGAAGGGTTCCCCTACTAAAATAGACTACAGAAAAAAGAGTACCCTTATTATAACCTCTCTACTGGAGGACCTAGCTAAGTACAACCATGGTTATACCCCTACTAGTTGGTTGCACATCCAAGTGGCGAATGAATTCGAGGCTTTGTGACCACCAGAAGGCACCGAAACAGATTTGTTGGTGCATTCACCAGCCAACCGAGCCTCGAACAAAGGAGTGTTCCTGAAAAACCCGGCGTCCAGGTGAGCGTAAATGGCTCAGAATTGGCTCGCTTGGCTCGCTTGGCTCATTTGGTTTGAAGAATCCTCTTGAGGTCTTCCATCAACACTCATTCGCCCGGCACTTGTCAGAAAATGGTTGAACCCACCCATAAAACCGCACACATTCCAGCGGAGACAAGGGCAACATGACTTGGAAATGTTTGCGGAGAGTTGTTGACTAGGTCCCCCAGTATTGCCCTTTCTCACCCCTGTTTTGGGGGAGGGTTCCCCTACTAAAATAGACGACAGGAAAAAGGGTACCCTTATTCTAACCTCTCGGCTGGAGGACCTAGGTTTGTTGAAGCCTTCATTGTGGGCATTTGGCTCACCTCCCGCTTGTTTTCTCAGGAGTGCGAACGAATCTCCCTTGTGCGAAGGCATTGCATGCCGACGGCCAGTCAAATCTTGATGTGCGACTTGGATGGTTCAACTACTGTTTGGGAGGGTCATATTTTTGTTTTCCGGCCCGTACAACTCTTCTTGCAGATCTTTCTTGTCCGCCTGTTTTTCCCGAAAGCATTGTGAAAGGGTTCTTCCGGTAAAATCGCCAGCCTTATCACACAGCTAAACTTGCACGAGCCAACTTGCACCAGCCTTATCGCACAGCCAAACTTACACGAGCCAACTTACACGCGCCAACTTACACGAGCCAACTTGCACGAGCCAACTTGCACAGCCAACTCACACGAGCCAACTTGCACGAGCCAACTTGCTCGAGCCAACTTGCACAGCCAACTTACACGAGCAAACTTGCACGAGCCAACTTGCACGAGCCAACTTGCCCGAACCAACTTGCATGAGCCAACTTGCACGAGCCAACTTACACGAGCCAACTTGCACGAGAACAACTTGCACGAGATCACACAGCCAAACTTGCACGAGACATTTGGACACGAAAGTATTCATTCAGTCTCTTAAGGCGGCGCGGTGGGACCGAACCCACCCTGCGAAAATGACACCGTCTGCGGGGATTGGCGTGGTCGATGTCCAAAAACTGAGGAAATTTTACGATTTCTGAGGCGCGTGCGCAACCCTCTACGGGGATTGGCGTGGTCGATGTGCACGATTTCTGATTTGCCCGCGCGACCCTCTGCGGGGATTGGCGTGGTCGATGTGCAAAAACTGAGGACTTTTTACGATTTCTGATTTGCCGCGTGCAACCCTCTACGGGGATTGGCGTGGTCGATGTCCAAAAACTGAGGACTTTTTACGATTTCTGAGGTGCGCGCGTGACCCTGCGTGGATTGGCGTGGTCGATGTGCAAAAACAGGACTTTTTACGATTTCTGAGGTGCGCGCGCAACCCTCTGCGGGGATTGGCGTGGTCGATGTGCAAAAACTGAGGACTTGTTACGATTTCTGACTTGCCTGCCTCTGCGAGGATTGGCGTGGTGGATCGCAAATGCCAGTAAAATGCTATTTCTTCAAGTCGGAACGCGGGCTTGAGAGTTTGTCTCGTGGTTGCGCGCCTGCTCTTGGCAGTGACCGGCCCCGGGCTCGAATCCTGCTTGGTCTCCGCACCCTTTAAGTTAGAAAGTCAGCAGCACGAAAGTGGCTCAAAAAGAATATTCGTAGCTTCGGCTCAAATCGAAAGGTTGCCATGTTGCGGTCAGCGCTGCACGCAGAGAACTTGCTCGGAGAACTTGCTCATAGAAATTTGTCCCCTGCTTGCGCAGCATACTTTTGCGTAGCGCTTGCGCATCGCAACTTGCTTAGAGCACTTGCGCCCGCAGAGCAACTTGCGCTGAACACTTGGGCCGAGCACTTGCACAGAGCAACACTTGTATAGAGCTCGCAACACCGAAGCTTATCAGTCACAGAGGGGCAAACTTTGTAGATATCCGCGGTAGCGTGCGCGCACGCACGCGCGCAAGTGCACAGAGCTCGCAACACCAAAGCTTATAAGTCACAGAAGGGCAGACTTTTCAGATTTCCGCGCTAGCACACACACACACATGCACGCGCGCAAGCCGCGCTAGCACACACGCACATGCACGCGCGCAAGCTCGCAGCACCGAAGCTTATCAGTCACAAAAGGGCAAAATTTACAGATATCCACGGTAGCACACACGCACGCACGTGCGCAAGTGTGACACACACACACAGGTCGGCTTTATTTGCTTTGACCTGCCGTGGCAAGAGTTGAGACATGTGGCAGCTGGTGTTGCATGCAAAAGGCACACACGCACACACACACACGCACACACACACAGACGCACACACACACACACAGGCGCACACGCACACGCACACGCACACACACACACATGCACACACACACACAGACACACACAGACGCACACGCACACGCACACACACACACAAACACACACGCTCCCACACAAACACACAAACACGCACGCACGCACGCACTCGCGCACGCACGCGCACACACACACACACGCAGGTCGGCTTTATTTGATTTGACTTGCCGTGGCAAGAGTTGAGACATGCGGCAGCTGGGTGTTGCATGCAAACCCACCCACCCACGCACGCACGCACGCACGCGCGCGCCCGCACGCACGCACGCACGCACACACACACACACACACACACAGACGCACACGCACACACACACACACAAACACACACGCGCCCACACAAACACACAAACACGCAGGCACCCACGCACGCACACATGCACGCAACAGCAACCGCGCGCAAGCGCACATCGAAGCTTATCAGTCACAGAAGGGCAAAATTTGCAGATATCCGCGGTAGCACACGCGCACGCACGTGCGCAATTGTGACACACACACACATGTCGGCTTTATTTGCTTTGACCTGCCGTGGCAAGAGTTGAGACATGCGGCAGCGGACGCGGTCTGTGCGGAGCCGCACGGCGAGCTATGCAGTTCTGTCGAAAGCCACTTGCGAATGAGAAATCGGAAGCAGACACACGTGCATGAAACCGACACCCATGCGCGCACACACGCACACCTGCACACCTACACATACACGCGCGCACACACACACACACACCCACGCACATCCACGCACACACACACCCACACGCGCACGCACGCACACACGTGCACACACGTGCACACACACACATACACCCACGCACGCGCACCCACACACACACACACACACCCACACACGCACGCACACGCGCGCGCGCACACAACACCAACTCTTGAGCAACTACTCCACTGGCACCCCTGCATGTCGGCTCGCTTTGCTTGTCTTTGTCACTTTCCATTAGGCTTTCGGGCCACCCGTGGTTTGTTTCTCTGAATCGGTTTGGATTCAACAGCCATCAGTTTTCATAAGTCATCTTGAGCTTCCATTTAGAATATGTTTAATTTCCCCCTGTTGGTTTTAAAGGGAATTGACATCACTGGAAATATGCTCTCATTCTTTCCAGAAACAAAAAAGCAAATGGCAAGCCATCAGCCCAGTTTTCATCATAAGACATCATAAGCTATCTTGAACAGCCCAGTTTTCATCAGCCATCACAAACCATGATGAGACATCATAAGCCATCATAAGCCAAGGCTACATCACCATCGGCAACGGCAACGGCATCCAAGCATCGCAGTGCACAGCCAGCTGGGCAGCTTGGCTTTGGCTCGGCTCGGCTCGGCTCGCGCGGGGCTCGCGTGGCTCGCGTGTCCGGTGTGTTGGGTCCCCGGAAAACCCGAGTGAAACGGGGTGGCAAGGGGACATATAACCCTTCCATTTGCTTAAGATGATTTGATGTCTTTTCCCTGGTTGGTTTTAAAGGGAATCGGTTTCACTACTGGGAAATGTTTGTATATATTTTTTTCAGGTTGCGAAAACGCAAATGGAAGTGATGAGTTGTTGGTGAACAATAGGTACCCAAAATGGAACCCTTGCAAATGGATAAAGGACTAAATCCTGCGATATGGTGGTTTCACGTGGTTTCATTTTGCCTCATGCCCCCAAAATTCCATTGATCAGATCCCTAATTTGGTTCTTGATTCTCACCTTCCTCCCCCGTATGGTAGGCTTGAGGTTCGGAGGGACCAAAGCTGCGAGTGACTGAAGCCTGAAGAAGACTCACTTCCTGAGTTCCCTTTCGACTTAAAGATGTTCACCTTTTGGGTTTGGAAGGTTTGAGTGGTAAATGAGCAGTTTGGACTTGTTTGGTCAAAGTGGGCAGATCCTGGTGCAACCAAAATGGGGTTGGGACTTCCATTGAAGTGGCATCCTGAAAGCTATGGTGGTTTACACCCCTCAGAATCTGAGAGCCCCTCACAATGTTCACTTGAATTGTCCATCGTGCGGATGGTTGCGAAATCCATTTCGCATCACCGTTCAGAAACCCTCGGATGATGATTCCCTTGTAAACATCAACAAACACTGGCTCAACCATGCTTTGAAAGTGGCGCCAGCGGATTTATTTTTCACCCATCAGTAGGGTTACCCTCCCACCAACGAACATGGAAGTACAAAAAAGGGCCCTTTCCAAGAGGAAAGTCGTCTTTCTACCGTGGTTTGTGCCTCCCAAACCATGTTAGCTGGTGGGAGGGTAGGCTTTGCAAGTCATTGGGCCCCACGAGTTCTTGCACGCCTTGCGAAGGCCCCGCGAAGGGAAGGCGCGAAGCGAGTTGAAAAGGTTTTTTCTCGGCGAGGACCTCTACGAGATCAGGGTCTTTGACGAGAACGACAATCAGACCTTCGGCATGGGGGGTCTTTAAAACCCCCCAACCCCAACCCAACCCCTCCAAAAAAAAAACCCTGGTGTACAGGTTGATTTGGGCCCGGCCGCAACCCAATCACCCAATCCTTGTTTTTTGCGGTTTTGGCGGGGTTTCATCCATCCATGAGCTTCGGGTGCAACGCAAAAGGTCCCTTGTTTTGTCTTTAATGTTACCCCCGGATTAATAAACCCCTGGTTGATTTTGATCGGGGGGTGTCCAGTTCCTTTTAGTGGTTGGATTCAGACCACGTTTGGAGGGAGCACCCCCCTAATAATGGGGCGGGTTTATGGATCCTGGGTCAACATTACTTGGGGTCCCTTATTCCCCAACAGCTGAAAGCTTCGTCTCCCAAATCATTCAGCAGCCAGGCTTCTACAACCAGGAGTGTTCAAGGTTTGCTGTTGGGGATGCTACCTGGGCTTAGTTTGTCTTGGTGGCTCCCAGCCACGGTTCCTTAGCTTTTTAGATCCTTTTAGTGTTTAGTGGTAGTTTCCGAATTTAACCCACTAAAAATCCAGCTTTTAGCCGGGGATCTGAAAACGGACAGCCCAGTTTTGAGTGGTGAACATTTTGCCTTGATTGGAGTCCTCTTGGCTTCCTTTGCTCCTTACCATCCTTCGGAGGGGGTACTCAATACGGCTCCAGTTCCTGGGAGATGATGGTTGTTTGAGTAGCTCAGTTGCCCAAAGCCGACCTTTTAACCTTTTGGTTTTCCAGTTTTGGTCCATTTTTAGTCATGGCCCCAAAAGGTTAACCTTTTATTTCTGGGTCCTTTGGGCAAGTGAGGTAGTGCGCTTTCTAAGCAGGGGTGACTTGGATAGAATGTTGAACCCAGTACATTTCCCCCATCGCCCCTCCCAGACTAGGTCCCCCAGAAGTTCCCTTTTACCCCTTTTTTGGGGAGGGCAAGCCCCTACTAAAATAGACGACAGAAAAAAGAGAGAAAGAAAACGTTGGTACCCTGATTCGAACCTCTCTACTGGAGGACCTAATTGGTGATTCGGATTGGTTTGGATTTTGTCTTGCTGGTTCTGGCAGGTAAATAGGAAGCTGCGAACCACCGAATCGGCTCCAGACCGTTGGGTGTTGAAGCGCGGTTGACCAGGTTTCACAGGGCCACCTCGCGGGATTCACATTGACATTGGTTTTCCATCGAGCCAAGCCAATTTGAAGAGTACGTCAGAATAATCGTTTTTTCCACAACAAACCACATGTGAAAAAGACAGGGCCTCACAGAAATCGCCATCGGAGGCAGCGGCGAGAACAAACAACCAGAACTCGCAGAAATCCAAAAACAAGTTGGGCAAACGGAAGTGAAGTTTCTTGAATAGATCCTTTTCGCAAAGTGATGGTTTAAGAGAAGGTCACACAGGCTACATGAGCGACATCCCAGTGGCTCCCCATGGTACCCTCTTTCCAACAATCATGGAAGTGCACAAAGGGGTTCCCCAAAAGGAAAATAGTCTTCCAGAGCTCTCCTGTCAACTTCCATGATTGTTGGAGGGAGGGTAAGCTCAACACAAAGTCAAAAGGAAGCTCCTAACAGGGCTCCTTAAAGGATACCTTTTGCAACCATTTGAAACATGTTGCTTTTTCAACACCAAAGTAAAAGGAAACCACAATTTGCAACGCAATGTTCAGGTGTATATATATAATGTAAGGATCCGGTTGGGCTGACACAGCCAGTGGCAACCTCTCCCTCTCTCTCACTCTCTCCTCACACACTCTGAGTTAGGCCGACCAGTATTCCCCACACCAGTTGGGCGAGCCAGTAGCAAACGGGTTGGGCGAGGATGAAAGACCAAGTCAAGTTCAACAGAAAGCTCCAGCAATACTAAATCAAATACAAACATGGACCGAATCTCCTTCGGAATCCTTTTGGAGTTCTGGAACCCTCATTCCCAATTATAAAGTAGTATTGCCCAATACCAGTAGTATATCCCAATACTAAAATAGACCTCCCCAAGTTGCATCTGATGTTCGGATTTTGGCGGCAAACTCTTTTCAGACCTTCTCCGGGGGCATACAGGTGTCATGGACACCTAGAGTCTATGTTGCAACCATGAGCCCTAAAAAACCAATACCCAAAAAGAAGGAGCTTGCAAAATAGACCCCACACGTGTCCACCATACCGGGGGGGGGGGGGTTGGGGGGAGGGCATGCGTATTTCGAAAAGAAAAGAACAAAAAAAACACATCCGCTGCCATTATTAGGGGGGTGTTCCCTCCAAAAGTGATGAAAGGGGACACCCCCCTATTAATCAACCTGGGGTTTATTAATCCGGGGTTAACATTATTCCTTTGTGCATCAGGTTCCAAACCCAGCAGACAGCTCAACCCTAGCCTGGATCTTCATTTGCCTTTTTTTTCCGGTTCCCAGCCCAACGGATGCTTTTCAGGATTTATTTCCAAGCCCAGGTTTAAACCAATGGGTGGCCCCACCCTAGTTGGAAGATCCAGGAGGTTTTTTCCCGAAAGAATCGCGAAGGGTAACTTGTGACAAGTTACACAGAGCCAAGTTGCACAGAGCCAAGCTACATAGAGCCAAGCTACATAGAGCCAAGTTACATAGAGCCAAGTTACATAGAGCCAAGCTACATAGAGCCAAGTTACATAGAGCCAAGCTACATAGAGCCAAGTTACATAGAGCCAAGTTACATAGAGCCAAGTTACATAGAGCCAAGTTACACAGAGCCAAGTTGCATAGAGCCAAGTGGCACAGAGCCAAGTGGCACAGAGCCAGGTGGCACAGAGCCAAGGTTAGGTAGAGCTTGCGTAGAGCTTCGGCGTTAGCAGCTATGTAAGTTAGTTTAGGTTTCTAAGGCGCCGGGGCGGGAGTTTGATCGTCGCTCGGGATTGCGACCCTCTGCAGAGAGCAGAGATTCGCGTGGTCGAGGTCAAAAAACTGAGGACTTTTTGCGATTTCTGCGGTGCGTGCACGACCCTCTGCGGAGATTCGCGTGGTCGAGGTTAAAAGCTGAGGACTTTTTACGATTTCTGCGGGCCGCGCGCGACCCTCTGCGGAGATTCGCGTGGTCAAGGTACAAAAACTGGGGACTTTTTACGATTTGTCCGCGCGCGACCCTCTGCGGAGATTCGCGTGGTCGAGGTTCAAAAACTGAGGACTTTTTACGATTTGCGCGCGAACCTCTGCAGAGATCGTGCGCGTCGAAGCGCTCTCGCTGTGGGGCCGTGCGAATTTGTCTTAGTCTCGGCGAACCCTCTGCGGAAACGGCCTTTGGATGTTGTCTCGTGGTTTGCACGCCTGCTTTCGCAATCCCGCGGTCGCGGGTTCGATTCCCCCCTGGTCCGCGGCAGCTCCGCCTTGAAAATCGCAGCTTTTAAGTGCAAACGTGGTACGCGGAGCGAAAATCGCAACTTTTAAGTACAGACGTAGTATGCGCTCCCGCAGCTCAGGCTGGAAAATCGCAACTTTTAAGTACAAACGTAGTGCGCGGAGCACACCCCCGCAGCTCCGGCTTGAAAATCGCAACGTAGTACTCGGACCGTACTCCTGCAGCTCCAGCTGGAAAATCGCAACTTTTAAGTCCAGACGTAGTATGCGGAGCGTGCTCCCGCGCAACTTTTAAGTACAAACGTAGTACGCGGAGCACACCCCCGCAGCTCCGGCTGGAAAATCGCAACTTTTAAGTACAAAAATAGTATGCGAAGTACATTCCCACAGCTCCGGCAGCACTTGCGCAGAGCAACTTGCGCAGAGTCACTTGCGCAGAGCAACTTGCGCAGAGCAACTTGCACAGAGCAATTGCACAAAGCACTTGCGCAGAGCAACTTGCACAGACCAACTTGCACAGAGCACATGCGCAAAGCGCTTGCACGGAGCAACTGGCGCAGAGCACTTGCGCAGAGCAACTTGCTCAGAGCACTTGCGCAGAGCAACTTGCACAGAGCACTTTGCAGCGCAGCAGCTTGCAGAGAGCAACTTGCGCAGAGCAGCCTGGAACAATGCAGCTTGCGCAGACCACTTTCGTGAGAAATCGCGCGGCGCAGTTCGAGAGGAAAGTAGGATGATGAGATGGAGCTCTCATGTGACCATACACACTGAGCATCGCCGCGCGCAGACACGCTCGCCGCAGGGATGTAAAAAGGTGTCTCCGCGGCTGGATGAGCGCCTGTGGAAAAATGCTTTCGGGCCAATCGTCCTCTAGTTAAATTCCATCGTTTTGCTGGGACCCCGTTGGAAGCCTCGTGGTTGATTGTTGGTCTTTTTGTGGAGCCCGGACAGGGAAACGAAATGGAACCCAACCGGACTTTGGGGGGTCCCCACCCCCTTAAAAATGGAGTTGGGGAGGGGGGTGACCCCTGGAATTCCATTTGTGGTTCCGTTTTCCCTTTTATGGGGAAGACTAGATAAATGGAACTGGGGACCCCCCACCCTCCTCCTTCTGAAGGCAGGGGGGGTTTTGGGGTCCGAACCTTTATTTAATGACAGACCCCCAAATGTCCGTGGGAAGGGAAAGCCCGAGCTTGAAAACTGAGTCCTTGCCACGTGCATGGTGAATTTGCTTGGGCCTGGGTGGACATTTGCGGGTGTCCCGGGTGAACCGAAACGCACCTGCAGGGCGCGTTCCGGCATTCGACATGTTCTTAACTCAGGGGTTTCATGCATTTATTTAGTCATGTGGCGGGGTCCAAACGCTCAACCTTTGATTTCCAGGTCCAGAATGTCAAATGACTCATGGAAATGGTTGCCGGCTTTGCCTGCTTTCGGGCATGTCGGCTATATGTTTGGGGCAGGCACAGTTTTTGCAGCTGGGAAACAGCAAGCGAACGTCGGAAATCGATTTGAGCTACGTATTCTGAGTGGCTTGGGTTTAGTCAGGTTTGTGTCGGATTTGGGTTATGCAAGTTATTGGTTTTTTTTTCGGGTTAGCGTGCCACTGGCTTGAAGCAAAATGATTGCAACTTGTGCAGACGGAAGGCTCCGAAAGATGGAAAGGGGCAGGTGCCTATTGGCGAAGATGTCGCAGGACCGCAACCAGGAACAAGGGCCCTTTGTATTTTCAGACAAGTTGTCAATAGGCCTGATGGGAAACAGGCCCCTTGAACCACTTGCAAAGTGACTGATACTTGAGAATCTCGAAATAGTAATCTGCACTTCTGGTTGGTCTCTGCAAAGGCTAGGTCCCCCAGTGCCCTTTCTCACCCTTTTTTGGGGGAGGGTTCCCCTACTAGAAACGACCGAAAAAAGTGGGTCCCTAACCTTGCGACTCCAATTCGAGAGCCCGATTTCCCGTCGGATGGGAGGGAGACTCGGAGATAGGAACTTGCGGTGTCCGAGGCTGTCTGTCACGGCCACTTCGAACACGGGCTATGACGACCCGTACACTCCGTTCAAAGCCGTGGACGGCAGCACGGCCACATTCTGGGCAGGGGACCATGATGTCGGAGCCCAGGCTGCAAAATCCGGTTCCTGGCTCTTGTCCAGGTCCCAGCGAGCTGCCCTTTCTCACCCCTTTTTTGGGTTGGGAGGGTTCCCCTAAAGTAGACAAAACTGAAAAAAAGGGTCTGGAGGACCTGGATTCTTGGTGGCAAGCCCAGCTATCTGAGTATCCGGCCCCTTGAGCTTGCAGTGGCCTTCCCTTGGTTTCGCTTCTTCCTTTCGCCCACTAATGCTTGGTGGCTCCCAGCCATCCGGTCCCTTAGCTTTTTAGGCTTTTAGTGTTTAGTGGGGTTTCCATTTAGCCCACTAAAAGTTAAGCTTTTAGCAGGGGATCTGAGGGCAGCCCAAAAAAGTCTTCGACTTGCAGGGGCTCAGAAAACGGATGTCCTGAAAGCCAGTTGAAGCATCCCCCTTTGAGCGACGTTCCTTCCTGGGGTGCGTGACGTGGGGAACTGGTTCGGGAACCCTTCAAACCTGCGAAACCGGTCAAGCGGTGTCGCTTGCCTTCTCATGGAAAGCAAGATTTCCACACAACGCCATGGCGTTTTTTATGATTATTATTATTGTCATTCTTATTAGCTTTTTTCCACAGATAGCTGAAAGCTATAGGGGTTCTAGCTTCTAATGAAGAAGGAAAAGTGATTTGCGAGATTGAGGGCCGGGTGCTAGGGGGCATGCAGTTTGGGGTGCTGGTGGAGGTGCTGCTTTGCGAGCTTGACGGCCGGGTGCCAGGGGGCTTGGGGTGCTAGTAGTGGAGGTGCTGTTTTGCGAGAGTGATGGTCGGGTGCTAGGGGGCATGCAGTTTGGGGGTGCTGTTTTGCGAGATTGACGGCCGGGTGGCATGCAGTTTGGGGCTGTTTTGCGAGAGTGATGGCCGGGTGCTAGGGGGCATGCAGTTTGGGGTGTTGGTGGAGGTGCTGTTTTGCGAGAGTGATGGCAGGGTGCTAGGGGGCATGCAGTTTGGGGTGCTGGTGGAGGTGCTGTTTTGCGAGCTTGACGGCCGGGTGCTAGGGGGCATGCAGTTTGGGGTGTTGGTGGGGGTGCTGTTTTGCGAGAGTGATGGCCGGGTGCTAGGGGGCATGCAGTTTGGGGTGTTGGTGGAGGTGCTGTTTTGCGAGAGTGATGGCCGGGTGCTAGGGGGCATGCTTGGAGGTGCTGTTTTGCGAGAGTGATGGCCGGGTGCTAGGGGGCAGGCAGTTTGGGGTGTTGGTGGAGGTGCTGTTTTGCATGGCCGGGGGCAGGCAGTTTGGGGTGCTAGTGGAGGTGCTGTCGACAGTGATGGTGGAGGTGCTGATTGACGGCCGGGTGCCAGGTGTGACGAAGGTGCTTTGCGAGATTGATGGCCGAGCGCTACGGGGCATGCAGTGGGTGCTGGTGGAGGTGTTGCTTTGCGAGAGTGATGGCCGGGTGCTAGGGGGCATGCAGTTTGGGGTGCTAGTGGAGGTGCTGTTTTGCGAGAGTTGGCCGGGTGCTAAAGGCATTCAGTTTGGGGTGTTGGTGGAGGTGCTGTTTTGCGAGAGTGTTTGCCTGTTTTGCGAGAGTGATGGCCGGGTGCTAGGGGCATGCAGTTTCGGGTGTTGGTGGAGGTGCTGTTTTGCGAGATTGACGGCCGGGTGCCAGATGTAGTTCGGGGTGCTGGTGCTGTTTTGCGAGCTTGACGCAGTTTGGGGTGGTGGTGCAACTGCTGTGTTGGGTTGCCGGGGTTCTAACTTCTAGAAGAAGTGGGATTGTTTTGCAAGATCGACGGTTGGGAGCTAGGGGGCATGCACTTTGGGGTGCGCTGCTGTCTTGAGGTGTTGGTGACGGTGTGGGCGCATATGGACGGCAGGGTGCTAGGGCGGGTGCTGTTTCATGATGCCGTTGAACCGGTTCGGACGTTGTTGCTGCTCTAGTAGTCTATCAGTCGTTTGTCATGGTGCGTGGTTCGTGGCTGGTGTGTCATCATGATGTTGTCACCCGCGTCATGATGCTGCTGTCACTGCGATGCTGCGATGCTGCGTTATGGTTCGTGGCTGTCGTGGCGCCATGATTGCTGCCAACATCAGGATGATGCTGAATTTCACTACGCTGTCGCGAGAAGATTCGTGGCTGTGGTATCATCATGATGCTGCCTTTTCAATTTGACCATTACCATGATGCTGTTCGCATCACCATGATGCTGTCCGCATCATGGTGGTGCTGTCCGCATGATCGTGATGCTGTCCGCATCATCATGATGCTGTCGAACTCATCAGGACGTCGTCTCTGCCTTTTTTATGCTAGATATGTGGCGCGGAATCGTTCGTTGGGTGCATCAGCATGATGCTGTCAACATCATCGTTTTTGCTGCTGAACTCATTAGGACGGTGTCTTCGTGTCTATTTAGCGCACATGCTGAGTGGCTGTGGTATCATCATGATGCTTTCAACATCATCATGATGCCTCGGGAACCATTATGATGCTGCGTAATGGTTCGTAGCCGTGATGTGCTATCTGGGGTCTACGCTGGTGTAATTTATTATTAGTATTACCATTAGTACTATTATTAGCATTATTATTAGTATTGTTATTAAAATTGTTAAAACAAATCGCAGGTGTCTGTTCCCTGTTTCCTTGACGGTTCCCAGCCAACCCCTCAGGCGTTTAGGTGTTCAGGGTTGAGTGGGGGTTTCCATTTCACCCACTAACAGTTACACCTGCGGTGCCTCAAAAAACACTTGTTCCTTTCAGCTTTCTTTTTGGTGCCGCAATCTAAATAGGGCACACAAGGCTGAGGCTGATTGCATTTTTCTTGTGTCACCCATGGGAATTTCGTGAAACGGCCGCTTTTGGTTCCAGTTTGTGGACTAAGGGACTAGGGGTGCCTACGGTATGAGCAAGCATTGCCGGCGTCTACTTAAATATCCAGTTCCCCCTGATCACAAATGCGGCCTCCAGTAAAACAACTATTCCACTGGGAGCGGAGCAAATTCCCTCACATTATCGTACATTTGTACAATGCGCTCTTGGGAACGGTCGAACCGTATTTTGTTTTCCTGGTTGTTGTTTGAACAATTATTGAAGGGGATGGTTTATAGGGCTCATTCCATTTCTCCTGCCCTGCCAATCGCACCAGCAAGTTGTTTTCCTGGTTGTTTTTGGTACCGTCCTTGCGAGGACACACAGCATCTTCTAGGTCCCCCAGTTATGCGCTTTTTACCCTTTTTTGGGGGAGGGTTCCCCTACTAAAATAGACGACAGAAAAAAGTTGGTACCTTTGTTCTAGCCTCTCTGCTGGAGGACCTAGATGAAATCCGTGGAATTTCATCCCATTGGGCCCCCCAAGCTGCCATTCTTTTGGGGGTTGAAACCTAGGGTTCGAATGTTTGATGGGCGGAATTGACAATCAGTATTTGGGGAGGGGATCCGCCACATATTTAGGTCAAAAGGGGTATGACAGGGTGTCACACTCACCAGCTTTCCGCTGGAAAGCTTCCTTTTGCTGAAATGTTGTTTTCTTAACATGCCCCTGTTGGTTTTAAAGGGAATGCATCACTACTGGAAATATGTGAGCAAATGAATGAAAATGGGGGGGGGGGACTCGCCAAATTCCCATGTCTTTTGCGGCTTTTTTTGTAGGTTGCTCCTATGGGTTGACATGGTTGAGACATCCCGGCGCGTTGCTTGGGCATTGGGCCTGTTCCGGGCTGCTTGCTTGATAACTAGGTCCCCCCAGCTAGGTGCCCTTTCTCACCCCTTCTTTGGGGGACGGTTCCCCTACAAGTAAGGTCCGGCAGAGCCGGGGGGCGGAAGTTTCAAAGCAGTGAACAACTATAGTTTGGAGAACTGTCCTTGGCCCCTTGCTTCTCTCTCTCTCTCTCTCTCTCTTTTCTCTCTTTCTCTCTTTCTCTCTTTCTCTCTTTCTCTCTTTCTCTTTCTCTTTCTGTTTCTCTGTCTCTTTCTCTCTCTTTCTATCTATCTCTCTAGCTATCTCTATATCTGTTTATTGATCTATCTATCTACCCATCTTACTCTGCACTTAAAAGTTGCGATGTTCAATCCCCGAAAGTTGACTTCGCGTACTACTTTCGTACTTAAAAGTTGCGATTTTCGAGCCCCAGCTGCGAAACTGGACTTCACGTACTACTTTCGTAGTTGAAAGTTGCGATTTTCGAGCCCCAGCTGCGACTGGACTTCACGTACTACTTTCGTAATTAAAAGTTGCGATTTTCGAGCCCCAGCTACGAAAGTGGACTTCGCGTACTACTTTCGTACTAAAAAGTCGCGATTTTCGAGCCCCAGCTGCGAAAGTGGACTTTGCGCACTACTTTCGTACTTAAAAGTTGCGATTTTCAAGCCCCGGCTGCGAAAGTGGACTTTGCGCACTACTTTCGTACTTAAAAGTTGCGATTTTCAAGCCCCAGCTGCGAAAGTTGACTTCGCGTACTACTTTCGTACTTAAAAGTTGCGATAGATCTACCTATCTATCTACCTCTCTATCTCCTATCTATCTATCTACCTCTCTATTTATTTATCTCTCTATCTCTTTATCTATCTAGCTAGTTATTTGTCTATCTATCTACAAATCTATCTATCTCTGTCTATCTCTGTTTCTCTATCTCTTCTATCTATTTCTCTAGCTATCTCTATATCTGTTTATTGATCTATCTATCTACCCATCTTTCTCTGCACTTAAAAGTTGCGATGTTCAATCCCCGAAAGTTGACTTCGCGTACTACTTTCGTACTTAAAAGTTGCGATTTTCGAGCCCCAGCTGCGAAACTGGACTTCACGTACTACTTTCGTAGTTAAAAGTTGCGATTTTCGAGCCCCAGCTACGAAAGTGGACTTCGCGTACTACTTTCGTACGATGTTCAATCCCCGAAAGTTGACTTCGAGTACTACTTTCGTACTTAAAAGTTGCGATTTTCGAGCCCCAGCTGCGAAACTGGACTTCACGTACTACTTTCGTAATTAAAAGTTGCGATTTTCGAGCCCCAGCTACGAAAGTGGACTTCGCGTACTACTTTCGCACTAAAAAGTCGCGATTTTCGAGCTCCAGCTGCGAAAGTGGACTTTGCGTACTACTTTCGTACTTAAAAGTTGCGATTTTCAAGCCCCGGCTGCGAAAGTGGACTTTGCGCACTACTTTCGTACTTAAAAGTTGCGATTTTCAAGCCCCAGCTGCGAAAGTTGACTTCGCGTACTACTTTAGTACTTAAAAGTTGCGATTTTCGAGCCCCGGCTGCGAAAGTTGACCTTGCAAAAATGCTGCGCCTGCCACCAAATCTGTGCTTGACCTTGCTAAAGTGCTGCGCCTGCCACAAAATCTGTACTTGACCTTGCGAAAGTGCTGCGCGTGCCACGAATTTTGCACTTGACCTTACGAAAGTGCTGCACCTGCCACAAATTCTGTACTTGAGCTTGCGAAAGTGATGCACCTGCCACGAATTTTGTACTTGACCTTGCGAAAGTGCTGCGCCTGCCACGAAATCGATACTTGACCTTGCGAAAGTGCTGCGCCTGCCACGAAATCTATACTTGACCTTGCGAAAGTGCTGCGCCTGCCACGAATTCAAACCTTGCGAAACCTTCGCGCGCCGTGCCAATGGCCCGTCGTCCGAGACCGTTCCGAGACCGTTCCGAGACCGTTCCGAGACCGCCTCCGTACAGGCGTCGCGACTGGTTCGCGCACATGGGAAAGGGCCGAATTCACCCACAGGGCCAACAGCGCCAAACGTTTTCTCGTCTTCCATCCCCCACGCGCAGAGAGTTTGGACGCAGCAACCTTGCGAAAGTGCTAGCGCTAGCCACGAAATCGATACTTGCTCGAAAGTGCTGGCGCCTGCCACGAAACTATATCCTTGCGAAACCTGCCCATGCAAAGTGCTGCGCCTGCACGAAATCTGATACTTTGAACCTTGCTAAGTGCCTGCGCCTCGCCACGCAATTCAACCTTCGAAAACCTTCGCCGCGGCCGTGCCAAATGTGCCCATCTCCTAGACCGTCCGAGACCGTTCCGAGACCTTCCGACATAAGACCGCCTCCGTACAGGCGTCGCAGCCGAGGTGGTTTGCGCACAGTCCGGAAGCCCAATTCACGCACAGCGCCAACGTTTTCTGCATCATGCCATCCCCCAGCTCGCAGAGAGTGGACGCAGCACCTTGCGAAAGTGCTGCGCCTGCCACGAAATCGATACTTGACCTTGCGAAAGTGCTGCGCCTGCCACGAAATCTATACTTGACCTTGCGAAAGTGCTGCGCCTGCCACGAAATCTCTACTTGACCTTGCGAAAGTGCTGCGCCTGCCACGCAATTCAAACCTTGCGAAACCTTCGCGCGGCCGTGCCAATGGGCCCGTCTCCGAGACCGTTCCGAGAACGTTCCGAGACCGTTCCGAGACCGCCTCCGTACAGGCGTCGCAGCCGAGGTGGTTTGCGCACAGTCCGGAAGCCCAATTCACGCACAGCGCCAACGTTTTCTGCATCTTGCCATCCCCCAGCTCGCAGAGAGTGGACGCAGCACCATGCGAAAGTGCTGCGCCTGCCACGAAATCGATACTTGACCTTGCGAAAGTGCTGCGCCTGCCACGAAATCTATACTTGACCTTGCGAAAGTGCTGCGCCTGCCACGAAATCTATACTTGAGAAAGCTATCTACGTGTTAAGCTGGCTATATGTCAAAGCTATCTATCTGTCATGCAAGCCTATTGGAAAGCTATCTATCTGTCAAGCTAGCTATATGTCAAAGCTATCTATCTGTCACGCAAGCCTATTGGAAAGCTATCTATCTGTCAAGCTAGCTATATGTCAAAGCTATCTATTTGTCATGCAAGCCTATTGGAAAGCTATCTATCTGTCAAGCTAGCTATATGTCAAAGCTATCTATCTGTCATGCTAGCTACCTGTCATAGCTATATGTCAAAGCAGCTAGCTCATTTAGTTCCAGTACTACGGAAGTTTCTTGTTAAACTTCCTTTGACTAAAATAGTCGGAAAAAAAAGTTGCTGCCCTTATTCTAGCCTCTCAAATCTGGAGGACATAGTAAGGGTCCGGATGGAGTTTGGGGCCTCGACATATGTCATTTTGACACCCCTTAAACAAGCTCAGGGTGCCGACGGCACTTGTTCCAAGCTTTACTTGTGTTGCAGGCGAGGCCTGCGTGTTCACAACACAGAAGCCAAAACAAAATACCGCTTTGACAAGCTCAGGCCCAATATAAGATGAATATGATGATGGGTTGACCACCCCTGTAGAAAGACTACTTTCCTCTTGGAAAGGGCTGTTTTGCACGTTCATGTTAGTTGGAGGGGTTTTTTGGTGACGGTTTGCCGTTCCCTTTTCCCCTTTTGTGAAGGTGGAATACCTGCCAGGTGCCACACCCGGAGAAATGGATGTTTTAAAAGTAGGGGGCCCTCGAAGAGGTGGTCCCGTTGGCTTCCATGCCCAAAAAAGATATCCTCAGCAAAAGGCAGACCCACCTGGATTGCCTCTTTTGATGGAAAGGAGAAAACCACTTCTTTGCGTCCCGGTCCTGCAATTTCGACCCACACGCATATTGATCACTTGCCTTTCCCCGTCCCAACATGTTCATCAAGTTGCCTTGTTCCCCCTTTCAACAATCATGGAAGTGGACGGCCGGGGCTTCCCCAAAAGGAAGGCGTAGGAAGATAGGAAGTCTTCCAAAACCCTCCTGTCAGCTTCCATGGTTATTAAAGGGAGGCCACCAACTGAATTTCATCTGGCCAACTTCCAAATTGTTTTTCGACGCGAGGGATGAGTTGCAGCTGCTGGGACGACGGCAAGAAGGACGGCCAGGCCATCAGATTGGACCTGGGCTCAGAGAAAACCGTGAGCCGAATCCAGCGCTTCGGCTGCGCGAAGGGGCGAAGACTGACCGGGTGGATGGCTGCCAGTTGCTTGGTTGCTTGGTTTGTTGGTCAGTGGGTCGGTGAGTTGGTTGCTTGGCCGGCTTGAAGTTGGTTGGCTGCTGGCTGGGTCGGTCGGTTGGTGAGTTGATTGGTTGCTTGGCTGGCTTGCTGTTGGTGGCTGCTGGCTGGTCATTGGTTGCTGGCTTGTTGTCGGTCGGTGAGTCGGTTGGTTGCTTGGCTTGTTTCCTGTTGGTTGGTAGTTGGTTGGCTGGCTGGCTGTTGGTGGTTGCGGGCTTGTTGTTGGTTGGTCGGTCGGGAGGTGTCGTAAGGTGGTCCTGTTCTTTTCCTGGGGTGAGATAAACCGGATCTGACCTTTTTGCAGTTTTTCCATGCTGGGTTCCAATGTGCAAGGCTTCGAAAGTGTGGCCGCTGCATTGGTGGATGGGCTTGTGTGGCAGCCCTTTGTTCATCAAAGAAACCGTTTTCCAACACCAGCCCTAAAACCACAAGTGGCCACCAAACGAGGAGAAAAGATGTGCAAGATGATCACCTGACCCAGATTGAGCAAGAGCCTTCTGGGTCCCCCAGCTAGGTGCCCGCTCTTCCTCACCCCTTTCTTGGAAATGGGAGGGTTCCGCCACTAAAATAGACGACAGGAAAAGTTGGTACCAACTTATTCCAACCTCTCTACTCAATAAAACCCAGGCAAGATGATCACACCCAGACTGAGCAAGACCCCTTCACCTGCGGCTTCCGGTCTTGTTTGTTTGTTTTGTTTTTCTCTCCGGCTCTGGATTCAGAAATTCAGGAGCTCATGGATCAGGTTTTCCTTAGCTTCAGAATTAGTTCCCCTTTTTCCTTTTTGGCTTTTTTGGGATCCCCTTTGTTTTCCACTAACCAGGCAACAAACATAACATATGTTTTGGTGGAGTCCCTTTTTTCCAGCCAAGTTAATTGGGGAAGTGAAGCAAACCCGGCGGTTTGGAAATGTAGAAGCCATGCTTGAGGCGAACTGGGAAACTTTTTCAGAAAAAGCACACCACCCGGCTCCAAACCATGGGTGGGGTATGGAAGCTGAATGGATGTGTCTTGAAATAAGGCTCCCTAAAAACTTCCCCAGAATTAGCTCCCCTTTTTGCTTTTTTGTTTTTTTTTGGTTCCCTTTGTTTTCCACTCACCCGGCAAAAATGATTTTTTTTTGCAGGGGTTCTAATTCCAGCCTAGAAAAATGATGTGTGTGTTCTTTAAAAACTTCTAGCGTTCCTCTAGAACGACAATTCAAACATTGTAATGACCCTCAAACGACCTCTCGGTTTTCCTTTCAAGCGACCCAGAAAGGAGAAACGTCACAGCCACACGACGATCCCTCGGGTTCCGATTTGCAGAATCCCGAGGCTTGTCCAGGGTGGCGCCGATGACCAGTGGGCCGTCTCAAAAATCCGTGTGCATTGCGACTTGGCGCCCGCTTTTTTGTTTGCACAATATGTTTGGTTTATCCAGGTGACTTGCAGTACACAAATGGAGGTGGTCCGGATTGACGGCTTGGGAATTTGAACCCCTGGCTCTTGTGGAAGTCAAATGGGAAAGCACCCCCGGAATCGAAACCACCAAAGGAAGCCACAAATGAGAGACAGCGATTCTGTTTGTCGTGCCAGCGCGTGTTCAAGCCAAATAGCAAATGGGGGATAGCTTTGCCCTTCTTCATTTTCTGTTTGGTGGTGCCAATGGTTTCTTTTCTTTGAGCTCAAGGGTTCCGATTCCTTTTCTGGTGGCGCCCTTTCTGCAAGGGTTCCGATTCCTTTGAGCTCAACCGACACAAATGGGAATCCGCCGAGAAAAGTGACCTCCGTCCCAAGTTCCATGAACCAGGGATGGAGGGGCCTTTGGTTTGGGGGCTCGGGCTTGAAGCGCTTGATGGGTTTGACCATCGGCATGACTTCCGTTCGCGAAACTCAGCCCAGTGGATTCCGGCCCTTGTTTCAGCCTTCTTTTTTTTTGGAAGGTCTCCCCTTTAAAGTCAACCAACAAGGATGCCCTTTTTTCCCGTGGCCACTGGGCATCTGAGTGAAGTATAGGTTTGATTTGTTCCTGTTGGCTTTAAAGGGAATCTATAACGGGAAATCTATTTTTCCGGGATTGAATCTATCAGCGGGCAAGTGGAGAGATCAGCGATCGGGGGGTGAATATGCTCGCCCATCCTCAAGGCCCTCCGTTGTCTTTTTTTCGGGTTTCGGGAATTATAGGCTAGGTCCCCCAGTAGTGCCCTTTCTCACCCCTTTTCGGGGGAGGGTTCCCCTACCAAAATAGACGACATAAAAAAGTTGGTACCCTTATTCTAACCTCTCTACTGGAAGACTTACTAGGTATTTGCTCAGTTCAGCTGGCTCAGCCATGCGAGTTTGTTGGGATCTTGAACCTTGAACTTGTTGGGAAGGTTACGTGATGTTTTCCATCATTGCCCCACCAACCTGTAAATCTAGTTGCCTTAAGCATTTGGGGAGAAAATGCATCCGGAAGAGATAAAACAAAGAGATCCACTTCCCGGAAAAGAAAACAAGTCTGGAGCAGGTCCGAACAAGGAGATCCAATTGGCCCCCCGTTTTTTTTTTCGCCGGAAGTTCTTCAAGGACGAAACATTTTTTGTCGAGTCAGCGAGTCCTCGAGTCATCGAGGCCACAGCTCCAGCCTGAACTCCAACCCCCTTGAGTTGGGCATCTCCATGGCGGGGGGGGGGCCCAGAGAAAAAGGAAGAAGACGGAAACATCCAACACGGCGGCTATATAATAAGGGGTCGGTGTGTGGTTTCTGTTTTTTGTTTTTTTCTCCAACCTTTGGAGGTCGTTGTGCTTTTCTCCAACCTTTGGAGGTCGTTTTGCTTTTCTCCACCAAATGTGGACACATACCGGTCGGTGTCTTTTTTTAGGGCTTTGGGTAGAAATAAAGGGGTTGTACTGGCTTTAGATTGGGCTTTTTGCCATCCACATAGCAGGCCAACCCGTCTATTTCACCCAAAACATGGCTGCGAGTCCGTTTTTTCTCATGGGTCCCCTTCTCATTTTCCCACAGCCGAACGCTATGGGGTCTTCAGAGCTTTGGGGTTTGCGGCTGGCTTTCTTCCGGGCCGGGCCATTTCGGGGGGCACTTCCCGCAAGCAAAGAAGGCCCCTGGAATTCCAGGACTAGGCTCAGTGGACCTCGCAGCCCTTTTTTTGGTTGAAGTTGGGAGGGTTCCCCTGAAATGGACAAGAGAACAAAAAGTGGGTACCACCTAAGCTCTCTACTGGAGGACCTAGAGGAGTTTGGCAATTTGGGACAAGAGGACGTGGAACGCCCCTGCGTGAAGGGACCAAGGAGTGAAGTGGCAGTTTCCGATTTCGGAGCTCAGCAAATGGCAGGGGAAATCGGGTGCCCAAGCTGTTTCGGTGACGTGTCTGGAACTTAGCAATACCAGCCATTCGGTTTTTTGGCCTTCAGTTGTTTTTAGTTGTTTTTGGTGTGTTGGGGTTTTCAGGGTGTTTAGGTATTTAGTTTTTTGTTTTTGTTTTTCTGTTTTCGGTTGTTGTTGGTTTTCCTTTGTTCCTTTTTGGTTTGTTTCGGTTTTACTTGGTCCAGTGGTAGCTTTCACTAAGCCACTGAGAAGGGGAACAGGGAAGCGAGCTGCCCCTATCGCCCCGGCGAAAGCTGCCGGTGAGTTTGGTCTCGGATCTGAAAGGGAAAACACGAGCAAGCCCCGCTGAAAGCAAGTCGGCCACCCAAATATCGACCTTGGACCTGAAAAGAGCTCAGCCCACACCCGAGTCCCTTAGTCCCTGAGTCCCTCCAGGTGCTTCCCCTAGGTCCGCCAGATGCCCGCTCGTTCACCTCTTTTCGGGAAAGGGGAGGGTTTCCCGACTGAAATAGACGACAGAAAACAGGGTACCCTCATTCTAGCCTCTCTCATTAGCTTTTGGTGGTAAACAGAACCGGTGGGTCCTGATTCTGTCCGACCCACCGCGGTCAGACGTGAGTGAAATCTTCGTTGGGCGGCGCGAGGGCACCACGGACATTACCTGCGGCATAAACGGATGCTCTGCCAGCGGTGCCTTGGCTTTTTCATTGTGCGGGGGGGTGGCGCGGGGTGTGGGTGGGGGTGGGGTGGGCCATTGCGTTGAAATGAATAGCATTTTCCCTGTCGCTTTTAAAGGGAAACGAGTTCACTGGGGGACGAAACTGCAAATGAATGTTTGGGTTGCGTGCTGTCAATTGAAGACATGATCATAGAAGAATGTGTCACGTTAGCGCCGCATGACCTGTAGGCCTGGTTCCACTGTTTTTTGGCTGAATGGACGTGGAATTCGGGGGCTTAGGCTTGCCCTTGATGGATTGCGCCGGCCACGGCCTAGGTTGAAGGAACCTAGCAACATGTCCGTGGGTTTCCGTGCCCCCACTCTGTGGGTAGGTGTCAAAATCGGGGAACCACCCGAGATGGCTTTGTTCCCTCAGAAAACGGCAGCCCATATCTCCTCCAAGACCTACCAGACCTATGCGCGGGGCAGGGCCCCGACTGTAGAGTCCTGCGAGGTGGGGGCGTCACCAAAGTGACAGATTCCCACTAAAGGGGCGACCTTTCACAGGTTCCTTTTTCATGGGGGCGGGGGGGGGGGAGGGAGGCCCCCCCCCCCCCCTCTCCCCCAGCCCCCATGACTTTTGACCTTTTGGCTTTCTCATGTTCATGTTTAGTTTGGTCAGGTGAGTTAATCAGCTGTACCAAGCCGGGGTTAGCATTAGCTGGGATGCTCAAAGCAATTCCGCAAGATCCGTTCGTACGAAAGGTTTTTGTCTCCAGTAACAATCGGCATCCTGCCCATCGTAATCCCGGATGAATCGAGGAGGTCCAGCTGATTGTGCCATGTTTGGTCTTTTCTTTCTTCGTGACAGAGGTTGCAAACAGAAATCAACTTGGATCCAAGTGGCGTGTCTTCTAAGGAGGGCCCACACCCCTGGACGAACTAGAACGCGCTTTGGGCGATGCGATTGTTTCAACTTTATTGTGACAAGGGTCCCGTTCGTTGCCTTTTGACCAGGCGTCCAGAGCACCCAGCTACTTTTTCAAGATTGTTGTTGGGTTGGATCTTTAGGCTTTAAGTGTTTGTTTAAAATCATTTGGGATTTCCATTGGACCCACCAAAAGTGTAGCTCACTTTTGCAGAGGGCGCGTTATAGCAACCCGTGTCAAAGTGCGATTGCTGCGCACAAGCCGAAGCGGGGGATACAAAAATCATTTCTTGCAACGGCGGTCCCTTCAAAGAAAGAACCTTCCCCCAGGGGTGATAGGCAGATTTTGGAGCAAATCACGCCATTCACCCCACCCTAAAACACCACATTCGCCAGGGCCGGTTTTTTTAGTCGAAATCTGCAGTTCACCTTGGACACATCAGATTAAACCCCCAGGCAAAGTCCCCAATACTAGGATTAGAATAGGCCCAGTGACCAATCACAAGTTAGCAAATTTCGTACCCGAGCCCAACTCTAGTTCAATGAGGGAAGCCTCTAAAACCAATACTGCACAAAGGTTAAGCCAATACTCGACCAACACAAATTTTAGCGATTTCAGAGCCCGGCAAAAAGAGACCACATTCGCTCGCAGAGGGCCGTCATAACAAGCAAGACACCGCCCCCCGTCAGCCCCCAACCGTGTAGGACCATCTAGGCAGGACTGGGCATTTCTGTTTAAACCACTACCCCCGGTCAGAAAGGAAAACTGGAGGTTGCTTGCGCGTGCTTTCAACCCAACCCGACCTGACAGAGGGTCCCTGTCAAGAGGAAACTTGTCTTCCAGGCGCAAACTTGTCTCTCTTTTTTTTCAAGCTTGCCAAGTCCCAAGTCAAGCTTCCAAGTTCCATGTTTTGGGAGGCTACCTCATTTCCTCCTTTTTCATCACTATCTCTCACACCTTTGCCACCGACGGACGTGTCCAAGAGTTAACCAGATAACCAACTGTCCCTTCCATGGCATGCCATCTTTAAAATCCTTGAATTGTGGATGACATGTGCTTCAGGAACTTGTATCTTCCCCTCTCTCCATCCCTTTGTCTGGAGTTCCTAAATGCTGGGAAGATACATAAGGAATAGAAAGGAATGTCAAGGATTTTACAGATAACCGTCTATAACCAAGAATTCTTGACCATTGACTGCCAAGGAAGAAATCATCCAAGAAGCATTCTATCTCTCATGGACACTCCCGAACGAAGAGAGGGGGAGGACATGAATGGGTCGCTTCTTTCATGATTCCTTACCCAACAGCGACCCAACATGAGATGGAGATGGGAAATGAAGGGACCCATCTATCCCAGCCGCTCATTCCCTTCGCTCACACACTGTAACTCCTGGAAATCCTTGAATTGGGACGGCTGGTCATCTTTTTTTCTTCATTCCCCAAATGTACCGCTTATCTTTATGGCTAGTTGGTCGGATCTGTGGACTTTACCTGTTGGGAAGCAGTGGAGTTTCCATTGGACCCATAACAACACTTTTTGCAGGGGGGGGTCAACAGCAACCAAGTTATATTCCCCGGGTACACACTTCACCCTCCCACCAGGGACCGGTCCCTCTAAACGGAAAAATGACAAAACCAGGACTCTTTTTGTCAGGCTTCATGTTAGTTGGTGGGAGTTTGGTTAGATTCAGATGGGTTCCACTGGTTTAGATTGGTTTCATGCCATCCATGTAAGAGGGAACCCATGGATTTCCAGCAATAAGCCACATCCCTGGAGGGGAATCCTGGGGACTTTGCAAACTTTGGGGTTTGTCATTTAAGAAAAGCAAGCAAAAGCAATGTTGTATGTATAATATGTATACATGTAAAAATAGCACAATGAAACTCGGAGATTTCTTTTAAAACACAACCCCGTGGATTTGTGAAAAGTAAGAGGAATTGGTCACCTAGGCCTTGCATGTGTCCCCCATATACTCCCATCTACCTTAAATATACCCTTAATAAACTCTGAAAAAAAACGTTTACGCCTCCTTTCTGCCCCACATGTACCCCTTATATACCCTGGATATGCCCCCTGTGTCCAGAGCTGCGTTTCGGACGAATGGTCCGGTGTTCTTACCTTTGTTTTTTTTTTGGTTGGGAGGGTTCCCCTACTAAAATAGACAGAGCTAGTTTGGTGCCCTTATTCGAACCTCTCTACTGGAGGGCCTAGGCCAACTTTTGAGTACAAACAGCCACTTCCATGTGCTGAACTGGTGTATGTTTTTAGTGACTTCCCGTTGGTTTAAAGAGGAACTATGACTGGAAATACCTGGACCTTCTGCTTTTTTTTTGGGGGGGGGGCATTGGTCCAAGATGGGAAGTGAGTTCTCGTCCCAGTCCTCAACCCCGGCTACGCGGACACCTGTGATGGGATCACCGCTGCAGCGGGTGCGGCGAGCTTTGGCTTGGCGATGCTGGTGGGTCGCAGGGCCAAAGTGGGAATGGGGTGTGGGGTTTGGGGTGGGTGGGGTGGGGTGGGGTGGGGTGGGCCATAATTCCAGTTGGCTTCCATTTTACGAATATGTTTTATTTTCCCCTGATGATTTTAGTGGGAGTCTATCTTTATCGGAAACATGTTTTCCAGGGCTAAAGCAATTGAAGGGAAGGGAGCCAAGCTGTAGGTACCCTCCTCCCAACATGACACATGAGGTTCGGGACCCGGTCCCTTTAGGGCCTTTGGGCCCTAAAGGAAACAGATCCTCCAGGTATCCGACAGATGTATCCATAAGAAAAGTGAGAGATGAGGATGATTATGACGACGGTGGTGATGATAACTATCATCATAGCATCCTTTGCATCCCAAGCAATGTCTTACGGAGGAAGCCTTTCGGAGCAAAGTTCTGATTTGGACATGATGCTAACGCTGGGCTTTGCGGTGCTTACCCAAAGTTTCGATGGCAAGCCCTCCGACCTATCAGGCTCTGAGTTGTTTTGAGTCGGAAGGTGGATGTTTCCGAATTTAACCCGGTAAGACAGGGCTCCTTAAAAGATACATTGCAACCAGTTGAAACATGTTGCTTTTTCCGCCAAGATTCAGGGAAACCACCATTGACAAGCCAATGCTCAGGTGTATAGTGCATCCGGATCTCTGTACAAGCTCCACCTTGAGCAAAAGGATCTGAGGATGGCCCAGAAAAGGGGGGGGCTCGGGGACTTGGAGAAGGCGCCTTCCGCCGCCTTTTTGTTTTTGTTTTTGTTTTGTCAAGGGCCCTTGGAAATCAAGCACCAAGAAAAGAGGGCAGCAAAAAGATGCAAATCACACATTCTTCACATGGGGCTGCGTGTCTACCAACCATTGTTGATATGGTTTCCGGTTAGAACTCACAGCCATTCGTCCCATGTTTTGAGAGGCTCCGTCAAAGGAGTTTCTCCGAGATTTCTTTGAGGTAGCCCCAAACGGGTGATTTGAATTGGTTGTTTCGGGATTGAAGCCCGGGTTCTTCTAGCGAGTGAATGGGAAGCCACCCCTGAGAACACCCAAAGCTGAAGTGAGTCAATGGTCATTGACCATCGCTGAGTGACAACTAGGTTCCCCAATTGGAGGTACCACCAATTTGTAGGGATACAAGGGGAGTCTCTAAAGCAGTTGGTAGTTGGGGCTTTACATGGCCTATTGAAGGTTGATCTCGGACCCCTTTTTGGTGCTCGAAAGGAACACGTAAGAGAACCAACTTGTATTGGGGGGACCTTAGCTGTTGTTGGCATGCACGTATTGTTGTTTTTCAGTTACTCTCAGATCCCCGTTGAGCCAACTTAGTAGGTTGTAACCATGGGAACGACCACAGTTACACCGGTCATAACTTGGCAAGCCCAGCCATGTGGTCCCTTACATGTTTAGGGTTTAGTGGAGGTTTCCAGGGATCTGAGGACAGCCCAGGTAAGCCTGGTGAAGTAAGCTGCCTTCCTGACGTCGCAGCTTCCGCTTCACACTTACGACATCACTTTGGCCGAAAGGTCGTTGCACTTCTTGTCCGGGGTGACACTTCCGAAGATTCCCCGTCAGGCTTACCACCCCACAAGAAGGCTTGCCCATGTTAGGCTCACTTGTCCAAAGCCTGGGCTGTTGTTCAAAGGTAATCCTTAATCCTTACCTGGGGTTACGCAAGCAACCGGTCCCCTTTGCAGTGGCTTTCCTATAGGGATTATCGAAAATCGGATTGGCCTAGCCTCCATTTTGAACAGCCCAGCTAGTGGTAGTTTCCATTTAACCCACCACAAGTTGTCGACTAACCGGGGGAATAACCTCAGTTGATCAGCGGATTCCGCCATTTCTGTTTCCAGCTTTTTTATTGGGAAGAATCTTTTGAACTCAACCAACCCAAGCAAGGATTCCTTTTTTCGTCTGCTTTTTATAGGGGTTTCGCCCAGAAAGCCTCTCGATTCTCTGGGGAGTTCTTTGGGCTAAGCGTTCGCGACGCCTCACTCCCGCGCTCAGGTCTCGGCCTTGCAGGTCAATGAGGCCGGGGGGGTGCCGAATTTCCCGCGGGCTTCCGGCCGTGCCTCCCATGGGGCTTGACTGCGGGTTGGATCTTTAGACTGGACCACTTTTTGGTTGAAGTCATTTTTTGTTTTAACTAAACCCACAGAAAGCCGAAGACTTTTTGCAGAGGGAGCAAACAGCAACCAAGTGGGTTTGCTTATGCCTCAGCCTTGGGCCTGCAATTGCTTTCTCACCCTCCCTCTTTTTGTTGCCCCTGGACCTTTGAACAAACACCGGATGCTGGAGAAAAAGCAAGGTTACCATTCAGCCGGTCGTTCAAACTGGATTTACATCTCTGACCCTGACAAAAAATGTAAAACATATCTTCACCTCAGGTTTGAGGTTGAAAGGTTCGTCAAACAAATCGGGCGCTGCCACGTTGGGAGGGGTCATGGCCGTACCAAGCTGCCAGAGCTGCTAAAACCTTTCGGCCTTCGGGGGTTATAGACGTTCTCACGGCGCGCACTCGAAAATTATGGTACTGTTTTGCAGGGCTCCTTAAAAGATACATTTTCCCCATTTGAAACATTACTTTTCCCACCAAAATAAAGGGAAACCGCCATTTACAAGGCAATGTTCAGGTGTATAGTGTAAGGATCCCTGTTTTGGCTCTGTTCATCTTTAGCTGCTGCACCCCCCCCCCCACCGTCGTTGCCAGCACATAGCACTTTGCTCAAGCCTTCGGAGTTCAAAACCTTCCATGTGTTTAAGAACATTTTTTTAATTTTTCCCCTGTTGGTTTTATAAGGAATCGATCACTACTGGAAATATTTGTATTTATTCCAGGGGGCTTAAGCAAATGGAAGTACTCGTTCGCCTCTCTGAAAACAAGTCGGCAACCCAAATGTCAACCTTCAACCCTCAAGAGCTCAGGAGCCCACCCCTACGTCCCTTAGTCCCGCCTCCAGGTGCTTCCCATTCACAGCTTTTTTGAGGGTTGAAGATGGTTTCCGCACCACCACCCCGAGGGGTTTAATGGGGTTATACCGCCACAAAAAAGGCCACTACAACTAGGTCCCCCAGTAGTGCCCTTCTACCCTTTGTGGGGGGAGGGTTCCCCTACTAAAATAGACTACAGAAAAAAAGGGTACCCTTATTCTAACCTCTCTACTGCAGGACCTAGACCCAATTCACCCTAGAGGTAGCTTCGGTTTGGGGTGGTCAGTGGAGCCCATCCTTCTTGAGGGGTGGGTCCAAACCGTCGGACAAAGTACGGATCGCAACCATAGATGAGCATTCCGTTGTGACCGCAACCATGATTTTCCAGGAGCCGTGTCGGACGTAGCAAAAGCCATGCAAAGAGACATGCAAAGTGACATTGGTAGCCAGTGCGTGCATAGAAATCGCTCATGTTTGATTTCTGAAGTCAGCCGGGGCTTGATCATGCTTTCCTAGACCCTCTTGACCCGGGTATCAACCAATGCCACCCTGGTCGAGGCCCGCTTCTGTCCCTTCGGATGCTGACTTGGGTCTCGGAATTCAACTCAGGTGTGTTTACGCAGGCTTTAGTCTTTGTTTCCATTCGCCCAGGTGCCATTTTGAGTACCACTTTTTGAACGCCACTGCAAGGTCATGATTTCAAACCGGCCTGCCCCAAAGGTCGCTGATGGAACTTGCCTCAAAAATGTCCTGTTGACACCAGCGCACCGCGGGTTCAGCTTGGAGTTCACCCAAGCATTCACCTGAATAGCCCCCACTTGCAAACTCATGGTTGTGGTTGGGAAACATTTTTCATTTTTGCTTGTTGCGGTTTAGTGGTTGAAATCCAACCACTAAACTGCTAACATTTAATTTTTTGCTCCCCTTCCAACGTCAGCCAAGATAGCCTCAAGGCATGGGACATCCATCCGAATCGAATCGAAGGCCAGGCTGGCCTTTGACAAAGCCACCGAGTCGCGGGTGAAATCGCCGTTGGCAAAGCCACGGCGTTCAGGGCTTGTTGCCCTGCGGATTCCGCAGGCTATGCTTGTTTTGATTGTGGCCGATTCGGATTTGGGGGTAAAACGTCATATTCGACCTTGACTTCGGCATTCGTATTCTTCAGAAATTGGGAATCGGTTTGTAAACATATAGGGGTATGTGAAACTTCGGACACACCCATGAAGGTGCTTATCACTCCCTCAGGTGCGCACATGATGTGTCAAACAGTCACAACCCCAAAAAACAATCAATCAATCACACAAACACGCAAACACACAAACACACAAGCACACACACAAGCACACAAGCACACAAGCACACAAGCACACAAGCACACAAGCACACAAGCACACAAGCACACAAGCACACGCACACACGCACACACGCACACACACGCACACACGCACACAAGCACACAAACACACAAGCACACAAGCACACAAGCACACAAGAACACAAACACACAAGCACACAAACACACAAACACACACAAACACACACACACACACAAGTACACACAAGCACACACACAAACACACAATCAAACAATCACACAAACACGCAACCACACACACAAACACACACACATACAAGCACACAAACACGCACACACACACAAACGCACACACACACACACACGCACACGCACACGCACACGCACACACACACACACACGCAAACACACAAGCACAAACACACAAGCACACAAGCACACACACACACAAACACAAGCACACAAGCACACAAGCACACACGCACACAAGCACACAAGCACACAAGAACACAAACACACAAGCACACAAACACACAAACACACACACACACACACACACACCCACGCACGCACGCACGCACGCACGCACGCACGCACGCACGCACGCACGCACGCACGCACGCACGCACACGCACGCACGCACGCACGCACGCACGCACGCACGACACGCACCACGCACGACGGACGGACGGACGGACGCACGCCGCGCGCGCGCGCGCGCACGCGCACGCACGCACGCGCACGCGCACGCGCACGCGCACGCGCACGCGCACGCGCGGCACGCGCCGCGCACGCGCACGCGCACGGCGCACCGCGCACGCGCACGCGCACGCGCACGCACACGCACACGCACACGCACACGCACACGCACACGCACACGCACACGCACACGCACACGCACACGCACACGCACACGCACACGCACACGCACACGCACACGCACACGCACACGCACACGCACACGACCACACACGCAAACACACACACACACAAGTACACACAAGCACACACAAGCACACACAAGCACACAATCAATCAATCACACAAACACGCAAACACACACACACAAACACACACACAAGCACACAAACACACACACACAAACACACACAAAAAAAAAAAAAACACACGCACAACACACACAGAGACAAACGCACAACACACACACACAAACACACGCACAACACACACACACAAACACACGCACAACACACACACAAACACGCGTACACACATTGTTACATGTTTATAGCTGATACAACTGCTTGTTTGTTTACACACTCGTGCACACGTATTAAGATACAGCATCACATGTTTCTTCGCCCTTGTCGGTTCACAGGGAAACGGTCCGGATTCCGCCATGACTGGTCAACTGCTTCGTGGAAGAGAGTCAACGAGCGGAAGCCGGGCAAACCGTGGCCATCTTCGGCCAAAAGTGGCCGGGGATCGGCGCTCCGCCTTGGCCTGAGATGAAGCAGGGTTGGCAACTAAAACGGCTTCGGTCAATGAGCCCCGCGCAACGGGGGTTTCTTTTCTACCTTTTTGGGAAAGGGGGGGGGCCAAGCTAATTTTGGTTTGATCTACACGGTGAGGCAAAGGCTGGGGAGATCGCAAGCAGTTTTCTGCTCCTTCATTTTGGAGCCGGTGCCGCTGAAAATGAGCAGCGCTTTTTTGCGGCGTTTGGGGGCTTGGAACTTGGGCGCATTCATAGAGGCCTGCCTGGATTCGGCATGTTCCTTGGAAGGATGTATGCGTGAATCGGAGACCATCCTTGATACTTGTTTGTTTTTCCTCAAGTGCTTTGAATTTACTCAAGGTCCCTCAAAGGATACATGTTAACAACATTGAAAGCTACTCTTATCAGCTTCCAAGAGTTTACACGTAACGGGCGATGAGGTGTATACTATAGGCACCCTTTTACTTGCGTTGAGCTTGATGCTGACCCCGTTTTAATAAACCCCTGTTCATCATTAGTATGTGGGGGGCCCTTTGGTTCCCCACTAAACCCAGGGAGAACCACGCCCCTATTCACAAACTGGGATTGATTTATTATTCGGGGTCAACATGCCGTGTTTTTCTTTCGCGACATTGTCCCATATTTTCACTGTGCTTGGCATGTTTTTTGGTTTTTAGTTGTTTGGTTCTGTTTATTTTTAGTAGGGGGCTGCAAAAAGCAAACATTTTTGCTACCATACCAAGGGTTGTGTAGATATGGAAGTTCGAGCATTGGGCCGGAAGCCTTTCAACCACCCGACAAGGCAAAGGGGTCTAAGTCTGGCCAGCTAAAGACCAGGTCAGAGCCTTTCCTGGTGCGGGGGCCAACTTGGTCGTCGCCAGGATCCAAAGCCCTCGTTCACGAAATTAAAACCCTCGAGAAAGAACTGACCGAGACCCATTCTGGGGAAGGTTACTTCGTGTCGCACAGGCTCCCAAAGATGCCGACGCTCCTCGCTGTCGCGGGTTGTTTTCCTATGGCAGCCAACGCTCGTCCCGCCAAAGGTGGGGGGCTAAACCAGCACGCTCGGATGTGAGGAAAAAACAGACCATTGCTGGCGGATGGGTGATTTGTGTTTCGACAAAAATCATTCGAGAAAATGTCCGACCCTGCAAAATGCGTGGTGTCCTTGTGGTTTCCCTTACACCACTGAAAACGGTTCTGATATGCAGACGGACCTGCTTCGCATTTGGAGATTGTACGTGGGTTTTGCAGTGCCTGGAGATTCGAAACATATCCACAGGGATCCGAATCTGACATCCCAAAGGCTGGATGCTCAATGTGCTGTTGGATTGGTTGGGTTATATCCCATTTTGGGAAGAAAGGCCTTACCCGTTGCGCCCGTCCTGGACAGTGGCTTCTGTTTGGCTGGAGCTTTGGCCTTGAATTCTTCGTGACAAGGAGTGCGACAAGTCAGCTCTTAGGCGGAGTCACCTTTCATTCACCCAGATGGTGACAAGAAACCGCATGAGACACCATCATGTCGGTGTTTCAGCGGGTGATGTGACGTTCCTGCTTTTGGCTTGCCCCTGTAAGGGGAATATTTGGGCTATTTAGTGCCTCACTTGGATGTTCAACCCGTATTACTGGTTGAACTAGGGGGAAGGTCCCCCTACAATAGTCATAGCCTAGCTACTTGACGTTGGTTCAACATAGCAGCCACCAACTCCAGCCTTCCTTCTTCGGGGTACCGCTGTTGCAGGCGAAACGCCTTGTGAGAGGCCCGAAAAGTGTGCATCGCGCGCCCGCCGGGGGTGGGTGGGGGGTTCTGCTCAGCTGGGTGACTTGATGCTACACCTCCCCAATTTTGGTCAAGTCATCCGCTTTATCCAGCTGAGTAGCATTGTCGGTGAGAAACCTGCCGAACAACAAACCGCTCCAGAGAGTACGACGGCAACCAGCGTCGGTCGATTTATTTTCACCGCACTGCCTCAAGTGGGTGGGATCGTACCTGTTGGTCGATCTGTTTCAATCTCTGGAGTCGGTGTGCGTGTCTCTCAGACACCACTGACTCGAAAGTAAAGTACAACAAAATAAAAGGTAAGCAAATGCAAGTGCATGCAAACCCAAAATGTTGTACAGCAGAGTTTCGAAGAGGGAGTGGACGTTCTCCCGTCCTCTCACTCGATGCTATAAATGCAGACCGACAGGTACTGAGGGCATGCAGTGAAAACTGGTGAGGGTGGGTGGGAAAGAAAAATTTGGCTAATTCGCCAAAATGGCGAACGGAGCATGAATCAAGCAGTGTCATCCTGCAGGCACTCAAGGTTCGAATCTGAGTGTGATTCAAATGCCTTCCGCTATCGGTTGTTACTTTTAACACAAGTGTTAACCGCAACAACAAACCGCTCCAGAGAGTACGACGGCAACCAGCGTCGGTCGATTTATTTTCACCGCACTGCCTCAAGTGGGTGGGATCGTACCTGTTGGTCGATCTGTTTCAATCTCTGGAGTCGGTGTGCGTGTCTCTCAGACACCACTGACTCGAAAGTAAAGTACAACAAAATAAAAGGTAAGCAAATGCAAGTGCATGCAAACCCAAAATGTTGTACAGCAGAGTTTCGAAGAGGGAGTGGACGTTCTCCCGTCGTAGGTCAACTCCCGTCGAAGGTGAAGCCGAAGGCGAACGACCTAGACAAAAGGCACGTTGAAGGCATCCTTACATCGATCAAGTCTCCTTACTGTGGACAAGATTCTCACGGGACGTGGAAGTCAAGTCGGGTTCAGGAGGAATGATTCCTGTGGAACTGTTGGAGTTCCTTTATGTCGTCAAATCCGACGGCATGGGCGAACTCAATATCGCCAATGATTTTGCACGTCCGTTTATGTAGAGCGTGCATGGGGGGTTCCAGAATCTGCCAGTGGTGCTTCGAGGCGAGAGACATGTCATGTCGACTGAAGGGGTCGGCTATATTAGCATGTGTGGGCACACGGGCAATATGCAACTGCAATTGCTGTCGGTTGTGCCATGTCCAATGTGCACCGAGCAGGCAGTTTAGTGGTTGGTGTTTCCCAACTCCCCGTCTGATGGCGTGTTTGGCCGCCTCGTTGTCGCACAACTGGAGGTATGTGTCAGTGATCCATGGTCGAAAGATCACAGGAGCGATCAACGCGGCCCATGCCTCGAGGAAATAAATGGCGTTGGTGCCAGTACTCACTTGTTGGAGTAAGTTAGGGGGTAGTGCGCCCGAGACCACGCGGGTCCTTTCTGCCTGTGGGCTGAACAGCACCGCTGCCCATCCGTTGTCGTGCGACCAATCGGGTGGCAGACAATCCTGATCCCCTGCGTCCTTGACACGCCAGACCGTCTCGCCCTGCCGGCAGAACG